TTTTTAATTTGACTCTGCAGAATCTTTGCCTGCCTTATGGTGTATGGATGCATTTATTGTACATTTAAAAAAGCTATAATAAAATCCAGATATACATAATTACAGTTAATGAGCTATTTTATCATCCAACAGTTTTGGTTTATATATTGCTAACAAAATTTTGGCTCAGAATGAAATAATTGGTATTATACATGGAATTTTTAAGAGCCCTCCCAAAGCAAGTCAAGATTTCAAAGAACACCATATGAAAGCCCCTTTTATATAAAACTCTGTCCTTAAAAGACAGTTTAATCTATCTAATGATCACTGATATTTGGGGTTTTCAAAAGGAATTTTAAATAAGCCACAAGTCCCCTGCTCACCTAAATGAATTATACCTGTTACCTTCTTAGTGTCTGTAACTTTTAATTTTATTGAATCATTTCAAAAATGTTGATATCAGTTGGGTAGTTTAAAGTCAATGCATATCTTTTCAATCCAGTAATCAGAAAAATCTTGCAAGGGAGGAAATATTTAGCAGTGAAATGTGAAATATGATATGCCCTTTTGCTTATATATTCTAAAATGTTTTAACATAGATTTGGATAATTCTTTCTACAGCGGTTTGCAGAAGTTAATTTAAATCTCATTAGAGGAATCTGCAGTTGCTATCTCTGCATTAATGATCAGTAAATCAGGATTTTAATGTGTAACTTAGAATTTTTAGTTTTACTGGCTTCTTTCACTTATCCATTTCTCAATCTGTTATAAATTACTTTTTGCTTTTAAATGACTAATAACTCAAATTTGCATCTGTACCACCTCCTGTCTTCATATTGTTGTTAATTGTATTTATGTTGTTAAAAATGGAGTGAAAATACTTTATGTTAATTGCCTTTTTAGATTCTTTCATGATTATGGTACTAGTAAGTACATAACTTGTAAGGTTTAACATAGCCTTAGTAAGACATATACATCAAGTGTTATGTTGTTCTATTGAATTTCTCCAAGTTCTTGTTAATGTCTCCACTTATGACCAAATAGGCTATTCACTGGAAAATTCTGGGGCATAAATCACGTCGACCATGATGTGAATGGTATTTCCTGGAGTTATGCAGACAGCAGTAGTTACCATACTCACAGTAAATATGCATTTGACATCGTTTAATATTAATAAGTAAAGAGTAGGTATGGTGCTATGGGTTAGTATGATTTCATAAGGGTCTAACTTCTTAGTCTCCAAAGTAATAAGCCTGTATTAATAAATTAATAAATATCTCCCTACAAGCTTCATATCTTACAATATATGCACATAATCTATTCAATCAATCACATATCATAGATTTTTGAAAACATGGCCTAATTAACATAATTCTGCTTTAGGCTGGCAAATTATTTGAGACATAGAAACCCAAAGTTACATCACATGCACACACACACACACACACACACACACACACACACATACACACACACACACACAACAAAACTAAGAAAGAAATGAAGCCTCTGACCATAAACATGTGCATGCAATTAAATTAAAGAAGCAAACAACATAGTAAAAATGATTATTCCTTGAGTGTTTTGTTGAGGAAGTGATTTCTTTATACTTTACTGGAAGAGGTAAGCAGGCAGATACTTTTCACTTAGGAAATTCTAGAGATGCTCCTGCAGCCATTGTGGTAGTCACAGAGGATATTGTGGTCTCTGTGAATTTGCCCCTGTTGCCTACATATACTGACCTTGGTTAAGATTAGGTCAAAGGCTTGATCAGCTTTCCCTCCTCTGTTTAGATGCTTGATTTTCCCATGGCTCAGTTCTCTCATTTTACCTTATGAATAGCTATAGATCTTATTTTGAAAATCTATCTGAACTTTTCCTTAAAATTAATCTGTATTAAAAAAAAACTTTTTTCCCCCTTCAAAATTTATTTATCATGTGTTCCACCCTCTTATGCTGTTATAAGCAACTTGTACTTGTAAACTAGACTTCTCGATGGCTTGTGTAATTAATATAATAGCCACCTGCTCTGGTTATTCTTCCTGGGAACCCCATGCTTTCAGTTTCATTTTCTCTCCTGCTCTGTGCCCTAGGAGCCTGACTTCTCCAGACTACAACACTCTTGTCTCCTTGCAGCTGATTTTGTGTAGGGTTTGCCAATGGGAGGTACTAACAGGAGGTTGGAAGGCGGGAGGAGAGAAGGTTGGCTATGTTTCTTCCTTGCTCCTTCCCTGGGCCAGGCTGTGTCTCTGGCAGAAGCTGTGCTATCATGATTATAGCTTTCACTAGGCAGCCTCTCCTTTGTAACTCTAGTTCACATTGGACTGTGGTAAAACCGTTTCCTCTCCTTGCTTCTCAGTCCTAAGGTGATGACTTCCTACTGTTTCCTGAGTCTAGATCTTTAGCCAGTCCTTGTTTGTTTCCTTAGCTTTAATCCAGCTGTCCTTTCTCAGAAGTTTACTAGTTAGTCTTCTGTGTTTCCATGTAATTTATGAATTGTTTCATAATTCTTTAATTATGAACTTATGAATTCTTTGGCTTCTCTTATAGTTATTGTATATATCTGCCGGTCCTACGAAATAGTGAGAGCACGAATCACATCTCATTCATCTTTGAATTCCAGTAGCTAGCAGAGTATTGCATGTAGTTGGACTCAGTACATATTTGTTAAATGTATGAATAGATTAATATGACTATTACTCCTTCAGACTTCTCTTAGAAAACTCCTAGAGCTATTTTAATGGTATTTTTATGATTTCTTGCAGTGTTTTCAGGAATCATTATAGCTTCTTTGAGTTTCTTCTCATTTCTCTCCTAAAGAGCCTAAGGAAGACTTATCCTAGTGGCATTACTGAATATTTCATGTAAGCCTTAGAATTATGGTGAATCACAGCAACTAATCAAAAAAGAAACAAGACAAAATCACTCACTTTGGGTTCTTTCTAAGTCGGATTCACCCTCTTTGTGCTCGTTGCTTGAAAGGGAATGAAGCAATTGTGATCTCATTTATTTCTGTGCTTTCTCCCTTTCTGCCAAGCTCCATTTGGTGCCCTATTGTCCCACAAGTTGCCTATTTGAGTCTTTTGAATTAAGAGTTTAGAACAGAAGGGCCATCTGCTCTGCACGAATATTAAATTATCACAAGACTTTGTATAAGGAGAATTTACCCTTGTATTTTTTTCCAATGTTTCCTTTCCCCTCTGGGTAAGAAAGATTCAGGGTACCAGGTTTTGTTTTTCTTCCACACACCCTTGGACTTGAATAGGCTGCAGTTATCAAGTCATATAATATAATAGACTTAGAACACTTTGAATGGCAAGTACTGAATAGATGTAAACAAAGGTTTTATTTATTTTCATTATCTTATAAAATGTAAAATTTTATAATGTAATTGGACATGCAGTGTACCAGATCTTGGTGTATTCAAGTTATTGGTTTCATAAGGAAGAAAACCGCCCTAAAAATTAGATGTTAGAGAGATATATTTCATAATCAATCAGATTTATTAAGTAAATGCATGTTCCATTTTAATTCATAGTATAATAGATAGTATGCAACTGATACATCTATAGTTTCAATCTGAATATTCATGAATAAGCACATTTCAGCAGCTAACCTTCAAGTAATATAATTTACACATATATGCTGTGTAAAATGTTTAAAATTAATTGGCTGGTAGATATATATATATGTTATGTAGTCATATTTGTTAATAAGAGCTGAGTAAAAAGATCAGTTGAAGGTTGGCATTTTAAAAATGTGCATGGTTTCCATTATTTAAATGTGCAACTTTAAATAATCAGTTAATGTTTTAATGAAAGTTGGCTTATACTTTGTATGAATATTTATACAGTAATATACTGATATTAATAAAAGTATGTCTAATTTTCTTGTTACTGATTATTGTTGACACGTTGATACTAATTCCAAAGAGTGAAAATTTTCCTCTGATTTGTGCAATGAAACTAAGAAAAAATGTACACATTTACTTTATAAAATTTGAATAGTTAAAATCAAAAATTGTACTTAGTAACTATGGGGAACAAATTGCCAGTCTGTTTTTAATCAGATGATCACTCGCACCGGTCTTTGAAGTAATAATCTTGAGGGAAGTCTAGATGTTACAGTCCTCTGATGCATCTACAATATGGGTACTCTTTCAAAGAAAACAAAACAAAATTATGAAAGTGTCAGTTAGTTCAAAGTCTTAAAAGGAACTTAAACTAGAGAAGGACCCTGAGGATTAAGCTTCTAGTGTGAAACATTCATTTTAAAACAAGTAGATAATTTCTGTTGGCTAACTATTTGTGTGACTTGTATTTTGAAAGTTTCAGAAAAATATTATTTGATACTCTATGAATTTTCATAAATTACAAACTTTTTATTGAATCTAAAGTTAACTTTTAAAAGTTTATTAGAATGGCAGCAAGACAGTTTCAGATTAAGACCTCTCAATATCCTAAATGGAATGCCCTAACCCATATATATTTATGAATAAAACAATACTAAACCTAAAAACTTACATGCATAAAATAAAACCTAAAGCTTACATGCATGTGCAGAAATAAAAAGAGCTTCTTCCTAATTTTTTGTTTTAAAATTCTGTAATGGTATATATACTTAAAAAAAAGAAAAAACTTTTCTCCTATTGTCCTCTGATTCTCATATTGTCCCTGATTTGTTGCTACACTAAATACCTCCTTAATCTGCCCTAAGTGGGACATCATCTCTCAGGAAAGTAATTGACTACAGGTCTGCTTTTGGCATTCCTTTTTCAGAGTCAAATTCTGACTTGCCATTGCCCTTTATCCTTTCTTTATCGTATTTTACTCTCTCAACTTACTTTGCACAACACTAATTTAAGTTTACATGTGTCTTGCAGTAGACTGAGTTTAGGTTTTCAAATACAATGAAAAAGGGTGTAAAAACATGGGAAATGCTGTTACAAAATGGTCTGAACCCTTCTAAACTATTTTTTCCTAGTAAAAAATAAATGTGTATGTATTTTTTTTCCTCCAAAGCAATCTGCCAATTTCAAGGACGCACCTACTTTGAAGGAGAAAGAAGTACAGTTTATTCTTCTTCTGGAGTATGTGTTCTCTATGAGTGCAAGGTAAGAAGACGTTCATGTGTCTTTCCAACTTGTTTCAATTATATAAACACAGTAAATGCTTCTTTAACAGCTCACCCTTGAAGCAATCTTTTCAAATTCTAAAGCAAAGAGATTATTCAGAATAGTAATTATAATTCAAATGTAAAGAAATTTCCATTATTTTTTCAAACATGTAAATTAATGATTGTAAAATAATTTTTCAATAAATAAAAATGCTTTTTTGTCATATTAAAGCTTTATGAAATTGTCTTATTTTTTCCAAATTAAAGTCAGCTTCTTGTTTGCTGTTTTAGGGAAAATCTAGGTAAAGTTAGAGTCAGCTTGCTGTCGTTTGTGAGTTTAAATAATGTGAGAAACACTGAGCATTTCAATTAAAAACAAAACATACAAATTATCTAATAAAAATTAACTGTTGGATGAAGTTGAGACTGCTATGGATCTTAATCCCTTTGGGGAAGTATTTTAAATTATTTAAAGGGAAATTCTTTACAAATGTACTTGCCATGGTGTCTTGAAGTATATTTCTGAAGCAGATGTGATTCATTTGAATTTTTTCTCCTTGACCTAATTGAAAAACTATGCTTCACAATACTATTCATATTTGTCTTTTATAAATTATAATGTTATATCTCAGAACCCCAGTGTTATATCTTAGGGCATATTCTATCTGAAGGAAACTGTCCACATATAAAGGTTCTCCTTTAGGGTTTCATTTATATTTGATTCTTAGTTTTCCTCTTTAAATACCTCCTGCACATGGGTTTAGGGAATGATTTAGTATGTATATATTATATAGAAAATTAAGATAGTGATTTTTGCTGCTGGCACCACCAGTATACTGTGAATGTCTATATGATTATTAAAATTTTGCGAAGGAAAACCCTAAGAATTTTTCCAAGACTAATTGAATCTGAAAGAAGCTATACATACACTCTATGCATCTTAATTTGGATCTTGGAGATGCAAAGAGGCAAGACTGTGACAGATTTGATTTCTGGAACATGAAAGCTCTGGTTTCTTCCTGCCCATTTTAAAGTATTCTAGCTGCTTCTTTAGGTTTTACATTGGCTTTCCTATGACGTAGTTACCATCTTAAAGATAAGAGAACAGAGGCCCAGGAACGTTAAAATGAATTGCCCAACTTGTATTTCAAGATGGGTTTTCCTCTATCAGCATCCCTGCACAATGTTGTTTTGAGTGGAGTAGTTCCCACTATAGATAAAAGGATTGGAAAACAGAGTGAGATCTAGTAACTTCAAAATTAGAAAAGGGACTCAGAAAAGTTGCTTCAAGGACGGTGGAAAATTTTTGCCAGCTGGCTTCTAATGGCAATCTATAACTGTAAAATATCAGCCCTAAATTTAGAAATCTTGAGGGCATTTGAAGTTTCTCTACTTCAGTGTGTATGTGTGTGTGTTCTTTTCATATGGTCAGAATATGTTACATAATACTGACATTTGTGGTTTAGAAACGTACTGGTATAGTTGCCTACTCTATTTCTAAGTTGCTATAAAACCATTTGATTTTAGATTAGCTTAGTTAGAGGTCTGTACAGAAACAACACTGCAGGTGCTCAGGAAATATTAGATGAATGAATGAGTGCTACCTTTTCTTTGCTTAAACAAAAGGGACCATTTTCTACCTTCTAATACTGTGCTGTCCAATAGAACTATGATGCAAGCCACTAACATAATTTTTGTTGGTCTAAGTGTTCTATATTTTGCCGCATATGTCCAAAATATCACTATTTTAAACACTAACAAAATATTTTACATTCTCTTGTCATACTAAATTTTCCAAGTCTTGTGTGTATTTTTCAATTGCAGTGTTGAAAAAGCCTTATGCAGCTAGTGGCTATTGATGGACAGCATGTCTCTATCAGATCACTGTAAGCTTTTGTAGTTCTTGACTAAATTTTTGACATTAAGGACTTCCCATTGTTTCTTTTCCCTTAAGGCCCCTTAGCCCCTGTATTTACAACTTTACATAATTGACAGCTCTCTCTGGCTTTCATTTTTCTGGCTGTCAATTCTAGTCCCTGTTTAGGCCTTTATTGTCAGTTTTGTGGCTTGAAAATATATCCTGGGGGTCTATGACTTTAATAGTAACACACACACACACACACACACACACACACACACACACACACAGTGGTTTTGAAAATTAGGTGACTAGAACTGGTATTAATGTCAAACCAAAGGAAGACTAGCTTTTGACTCCACTGTATACATGTTTCCTGCCACTTTTCTTGACAAGAGATTATGATCTGGAAAAAATTCCTTACATACATAAACCAGGAAGAGAAGATATGGAAAAGTGTACTTCTTTATGAAAGCAGTACTTACATAAATTATATCTAAAAATCTAAGCTATTGAGTAGTATTTAAAATGGAAAGCGGCAAGTTTCAAAAGTTATTTTATTACTTATGTACTTGTAAGCATCATATAGCATAGTTAATTACCCTTGCTCTTAAGAGATTGAAGTTTGGCAATATAGAAGTCAAATGCTTGCTTCTAGATCAGGGCTACTACAGTTATCAGAAAAGTATTTGAGTTTCTCCCTGAGAAGGATTTAATCTGTTCTGGTTGCTTTATTCATTCATTCAAGAAGTATTTTTGAGTGCTGTGTGCCAGAAAATGAGCTTGACATTAATTTACAAGAGACATGAATCTTACCTTTATTTTCTTTATTGTTTTGTGGGAGATCTCCAATATCTTACCAGAAGCATCTGTGAGAACCTCTTTATAATAAAACTATATGAAAACATTTAAAAATGAGCATGTTTTAAAAACTTAGTTTTAATTTACTGTTTCTTCCCAAAGCGAGCTGTTGAGCTCATTCAAACTGTGTCTTTGCCACAATTGTCATCTGGATTTTCAAATGTTTTGTAAAACTAGCAAAAATTTTCAAGATCACCCAGATGTTTGGCAATTTATAGACATGGTTGTGGTGTGGTGTGCTCTGATTCCCAGTGCTGCTTGTCTATTCTGAAGGCTTCTCAGCTGGGATTTAATGCCATTTTGGGAGTGAGCCTGTGACCTGTGCAGAGGTCCTTAGAGTAATAATTTCATTCTGATGTTAGAAAACCCTTCTAAGAAGCTGGATCTGGAAACTTCTTAGTAAGTCCTAATTACAAACTTTGAAGGATTTATTTTCTGTTGCCCAACAGGATCACACCATGAAACTTGTTGAGAGTTCAGGGTGTCCAGCTTTGGATTGTCCAGAGTCTCATCAGATTACCTTGTCTCATAGCTGTTGCAAAGTTTGTAAAGGTAAGGTTTATTTGTAAAGTAAGATTTATGTGGAAGAGTCATTCTAGAAGTCTAGTACTACTGACATGGAACAGAAATTTTTATAAACAAGTTATTTCCAAATACCGATACTATTTCCCTAAATGATTTTCTAATTTGGCACACAGTAAGTAGTCATGAAATATTTATTGAATTGAATTAAAACCAAGCTGCTCCCATACACTTCCGCAAATTGTCATGAACCTGTTTCAAACTCTAGATCTCTAAACCTCTCTCTGTGAGCTGGTTCTGAGTAAACACAGTATTGCTCGAGAAATTTACACAACAGCATTGAGTTATTCTATTGACAGTTACTGTTTCTTGGCAAAAGGTTTTTGTTTGTTTGTTTTTCATCTCTCCTCAGGTTCTTTTTGTAATTTGCCAAGAAAACTTTTTATTATGACTATTTCAAATCCCTCTCTTGTTGAATTCTACTCTCCCACTCAGTTTCTAGATGACTGAGAAGAGAGGGGCCATCACACATTAATTTCTTGTAACGTGTTTCCACTGAGATGATAGGCCTATAACCAATAAGTAGAAGGGACTTCGATTTTTAGTTCAATATAAGAAAACACTAAAGTTGGAGCTATTCAGAAGCGTGATGGACCATCACAGTTGGCAATAAGTTCCCATCACTAAAGGTTCTTAAGCTAGGTATCTTATTGTAGTTTCAAGTATTCTACAAAAGTATTGATTATATGAAAGAAACTCATTAAGATCTTTGCCAATCATGAAATTATATGCACCTTCCTATATTATATTGACATTATATACTTGTGAATCCATCTTCCACATTAGACTATGCTCCTGTGGGCAGGGCTGGGTCTTTATATTCATCTTTAGATCTTTAATACATAGTATAACACCTTGGATATAGTTGGTGCTTGTAAGTAATGTCATTGGGACTGCATAACAAACTGCCCCAAATGAGCTCCTAGCACTTGTTTGATTAATGATCTTTGTACTGATGTAAAACAAAGCTTAAACAGGAAAAGTAAGACAAAGAAACTTTATAAAAACAAATACCATTTTATTTCTTATTAACCTGCTCTATTCAAAGTAGACATAAGATCACTCACTCCCATTTTTAACATAGTGGAGTAGTTTCTTTTTTATTTTAAGTTCCTTTTCCATGCACTCAATTAAGATTTTAAAAATCTCAGTCTGTGTGAGGCTCTTTAAGAATTATAAAGTGGTTTAAGACTTGGTCTGCCCTTCAAGGGACTTTCAAGGTAGCTCTCTGGAAATAAGGAGCACTTCCAGAAAAAACCCCCCAAAAACCAACTACAATCGAGCAGACATATGCAGGGAGAACCTCCCCAAACAAACAAACAAACAAACAAATACACACACACACACACAAAACCAGAATTTTTTTTTGACGAGCAGGCCCCTTATAATACAGGCTTCCCTTACTAGGTAAGTGTTCTAGGAACTCATTGGCATCTGTGTAGTGTTATGAGAGGCTGTGTTCAGCTTCAGTGCATTTTTTTAAGGAGTCTTTCAATGCATTTCCCCATTTCATGATGGGTGATTTACTTGCACACTTGCCTACACTGATCTGAGTGTTCAGCAGTTTTTGACCAAAAACAGCATGACCCCAGTGCCTACCCTCCCTATTTACCTGATCTTTCCTTGAGTGACTTTTTTTGTTTCCCTGATGAAAAAAGTCCTCAAAGGGAAATGTTTTGCCACTGTGGATGAGGTGAAACAAAAAATGGCAGAAGCACTAAAAAATTGATGAGTTCAAAAACTATTTTGAGCAGTGGAAAAAGCATCTTTATAGGTATATTGCATCAAACGGAGAATACATTGAAGGTGACTAAAGTTTGAAGATCTAAGAATAAATACACAATTTTTATAAGTAAATTATGTTTTTGGGGTCCCCTCATATAATAAGGATCATTAGAATTTTCACCTTCACAGTACCTGAGCCAGTGCCTTACACAGAGCCTGTGTGGAATTTGATATGAATCAGTAATTCTTGTTTGATATGGACTCCTGGTTTGCAGCTTGATTAGAATGTCTCTGGCGGGCAAACATTGATAGGCAATATCTGTTGCTGAAACTTAATTGTGTGTACATCTATCTTAGGGATATTCTTAAAATGCAGATTCTGATTCAGTAGGTCTGGAGTTGGGCCCAAGAATCTGAATTTCCTAGGTTGTGCTGATGCTGATGGTAAACAAAACCACATTTTGAGTAGTAATCTATTGCTGCATAACAAACTGCTCCAAAGCTCAGTGGCTTAAAACAACAAGTGTTTTATGTATCTTACTATTGTGGATCAGGAATCCAGACAGAGCTTGGCTAGGTGATTCTTCTGATCTACATGGTGTTAACTGATGTCACTCAGTGCTGTACAGTTCAAAGCTGGGCAGGGCTGGAAGATTCAACATGGACTTACTATATGCAGGGCATCTTGGTGGGGGATGGTTGGAAGACTGCCCATAGCTGGGACTTCCTCCTTCCCATGTAATCTCAGGATTTCTTCTTGTGTTTTCTCCATCAGGATAGTAGTTAGACTTCTTAAATGGCGGTTCAAGGCTTTTAAAGACTAGCTCTGGAACTGACACAGCATCACTTCTACCATATTCCTTTGGTCAAAACCACAGACTAGCCCAGATTCCAGGGGAGGGGAAATAGATCTCACCATAGATAGGAGGAATGTTAAATATTTGAGGCCAATTCAAATCTACTAATCAGGGCTATTCAGAAATTAGAGGTATGAATAGCACAGGAGTTAGTCAAGGTTGGGCAGGACAAGATTTGGGTCAAAAGCTGAGATAGGGACTTTCAGATATCAAGAGAAACCTCGACCTTATCTATTTATTTTTAAAACAGCCCTAATATATTACATAAAGCAAGTTAATAAATGGAAAAACAGTACAAAAATTGTCTTACATTTAGATTGTTTATAGTTTTAAAAATTAATGTGTTTGCATACTACACTTAAAAATACAATAACAAAACATACTGGGACCTACATCCACTCCACCTGAGATTTTGATATCATTGATATGAGATGGGTGGGGCCTTGACATCACTATTTTTTAAAATTCCCTGATAAATTCTTTTTCACAGCCAGGATTGTGAATCACCAGCTTAGAAAATCCTCAAACTGAAATTGAACATGTTGCCCTTTCTTGAAACATTTAGCACAATTTCTAATAAAGATTGCATCAGTTTCTAACTTCAAATATGCAGAATGAACAAATAGGTTCTCCTGGCACTCTTTCAAACTTAAAAAAAAGTCAAGTTCTCAAAGCGTAATTTTTAATCAACTCCTAAACAAATGTGACCAATTCATTTGTAATAAAATTGGCCTCTCCCTCTCTGCCTAGGGCTAAAGATGTTGTGTTCACATCTGAAAGAGTAAGTTCGACAACAGTTGGTAAATATTTCCTGAGAGCAGAGCATGAGATGAAGTGTTAACCTTGCCACTAGAGACTCAGCCAGTGGTCGGAAACCAAGCTGTGCACTGAAATAAGACTCCAAATCACTAGGCACCAAGTAAAATCCAACCAACCAAAATTATTTTCTAGGTATCTATAGCTGACTGTCTTTTGAACGCAACAGAAATGTTTATTTCCTTTTGTAGAATCAGAGAGCTCTTTCACGGAAGCTTATAACAAACCACAACATAGCAGAGACTTAGTGATACAGTAGGAAGTCTGACTTAGAAAGATACAGAAATAATGTGGATAGCCTTTATATCCACAGTCCTTTCCTTCCCTTAGCACTTTTTTTGTGTGCTTGCAAGACCATTAAGTCGTATTCACTAGATGCCCTACTTTAATTTATTATTGACTTCACTGCATCTCATAATTATTAGTAATGGGGCATCCACATTCAGCAGAATAAGCTAATGTCAATTGTTGTCTCTCACTTCTGGTTATTCCATAGTTTCCCACATTATTCAGTGCTCACTTTTATGATTCTTGCTACCTATGTATTACTAACATTATTTGGTTTATTTTTAACATATCTACTTTTAGTCAATTCAGTTTAAAAAAATTTAGTTTCATCCCCAAACACTGGTATTTATGAAATAATAAGGTTATTTGCTGTATTTATGTATTTCTTATATACATTAAAAGAAATTCATTGCTATTAATATTTTCTTTTTATGTTCATCCATGTATATAAACTACCCATAAGCTATGGAAAACACTAGGATAATTCATTATATTGTAAACAACACCTAAATAAGTGAGTATTCTTTTATGCACAGATGATAGAATATGCAATTCAACTGACGCAAGCAAAAAATGGAATATATAAGCCCCACAACGAACAGGGTAAATTGGCTTCAGGTGTAGCTTGATTCAGCTCTCAAATCCTGCCCCTGTGCCTGCCACATCTCTGTTTGTCTCCTCAGAGTGGCTTTATTTTCAGACTTTATGTGTTCTCAGGTATACTTCTGACATTCTTATGCTCATATTATGATACTCAGGGAGGTGGAAGGAAAAAACTCAATGTCCTCATATATTGAATAAAAAATATTCAGAATTGAGTTTCAGTGGTCTTCATTAACTTGAAATAGATCATATACCCTGACCCAAAGAAATTATTATGCCCAGGTCAGTGTACTGCATTGAGCAGTGTGGCTTTATTCTGTGGAAGGGTGGAGTCCATTTTCTTAAAATAACTAGGTTATCTATTTTCTCACAAAACAAGAAATAGATGTCTATAGGCAAAAACAATAAGTATTCACCACAAAATTATTGTATTCTCTTTCCCCGATAATTATGTATTGCCATTATATATACTGTTTTTTACTCATAATCTTTCCTATCCACCCTTCCCCTTTTTCAGTTACACAGAAGTGCATATTTATAATTTATAGAAAGGTGTACTCTTAATAGAAAAGTACAGAACTTCATGTAAATTTGTAAAGCTTGTAAAAGGAATATAGATAAAATTCAAGGGTGGAAATAAGACTCTCCATCTGTCTATAACAAATATTTGAATTTTCTTGTATGTTATGGATCTCAACCTAATTAGTTTTAGCTTATTAGTAACACTATAATAACTTTAGTTTTTAATAGATACTATGCTATTATCTTTTACATACATGATCTCATTTGAACCTCACATTTTTATAAGGTAGTTATTTATACCAATTTTACAGGTGAGAAAAACTGAAGGCTTCCGAAAGGTTAATTAATGTATAGCTAGTAATTTACACAGCAAGTAGGTAGCAAGAGATCAGATGTAAATCAAGGCCTGCCAACTCCAAAAGCCAAGTACATAATGAATAAAAATACAACTATGAAGTTAATAGAACTGTATTGCCAACCCATACTGTAATATTTTTTGAAGCTATTTCCCATAGATTAGAAACAACCCACTTTAATTAAATCTGAATTTTCTACTCATCAATAGTTAGCCTTTGACCCTGACATTTTATAAAATAACCAGTAGATTCTATCAACTTTTTTGTTGAAAGAATAAATTAAAATAACTGACATTGTTCATAGTAAATTAGAATTTGATTGACTGAAATTTTTTTCAGATCTTTGGGTTTAATACAAAACCCATCTAATAAAAAGTCAAGCACAACCCATCTAATAAAAAGTCAAGTCAAATAGTGAAAGTAGGATCATCGTATTATCTTACAGTTCAAAAATTCTTGCAATAATTAAGCCCTACATGGTGTATGTGTACATGATGTTTACTGCTAAGAGGAGAGGTCTCACCACTACTGAAGAACTAAAAATGGATTGTAATAGAGGTGGCATATCATATGACATAGATAATACTAATGATGTTAATATTATTAATTTTAAATTATAATATTAATTATCTTATGCTCATACCATTATGATACTAAGGTAGGTGGAAGAAAAAAACTCAATGTCCTCGTAAACCGAATTAAAATTTCAGAATTGAGTTTCAGTTGTCTTCATTAGCTTGAAGTAGATTATATGCTCTGAGCTGAGCAAAATTATTATGCCCAGTGGACTGCATTAAGCAGTGTGGCTTTATCCTTCAGTAGAGTAGAGTCCATTTTCCTAAAAGCACCTGGACTGAAAAGAGTGGTGAGTGTTTCTTCTGAAGTATAACTAGACTACATTTTCCCCATAAAAACAAGAAATAGATGCCTGAAGGCAAAAAACAATAAGTATTCACCACAAAATTACTGTATTCTCTTTCCCCTGATAATTACGTATTGCCATTATATTTATTTTTTCTACTCATGGTCTTTTGTATAATATTAAGTGGAGCTTTAAAAATGGGAGAGGAGAAAATTCAACAAAATGAAAAATTGAAAGATAATTTTGAAAGAGGACTGTGAAAGAAAAATAAAAAATGTATCAAAAATGGCACCCAGCCGGGCTCGGTGGCTCAGCCTGTAATCCTGCGCCTTTGGGAGGCTGAGGTGAGCGGATTACCTGAGCCCGCGGGTTCGAGACCCGCCTGGGCAGCGAGACCTCATCTCTACAATAAATAAAAAAAAATCAGCCGGGTGTGGTAGCGCGCGCCTGTAATTCCGGCTACTCGGAAGGTGGAGGCGGAAGGATCGCCGGAGCCCAGCAGGTCGAGGCTGCGGTGGCCAGGAGCGGCCACTGCACTCCAGTCTGGGCGACAGAGTGAGACTCCAACTCAAAAAAAAAAAAAAAAAAAAAAAATGGCACCCATTCTTAGCTGCAGTCCTCGAACGGGTGTTTGAAACAATACAGGTAAAATTATGCAGAGATTTAACACTCTGTTAGAACTGGTATCTTAATTCTATTGTATTTTAGGGAATGGGCTATTTTCTTTTAGTAACTTTGTTTTAATTTAGAATAGATATGAAGTGATTTTTTTTGAAGACTTTTCATTTTAGTTTGATGATATGCTGAACTATTGGGATAGATAGTGAAGATGTCTTTTGAGCTAAAATTGTTCCCCCTCAGGCATTATAAAAAGATAGTGGAATACACTTGAAGAAATATCATCTCAATTTAGGCACTTAAAAAAGAAGAAAATAAAACGACCCTAGGAAAAAGCATTTTTAACACTTCCTCTTCATCAAAACTTTACGTCTCAGCCTGAATTGTGAGAATTTAGATTATAAAGATACTTGTCAAGAGAAGTTTTCAAGTGATTTAAATTCTGTTATTGACTGTATTTTTCTGGTTTTAATACACCTGTGTTCTGTTTTATTTTATTTTTGTGGAAATCACTGATTCATTTGATTATTTCCATTCTTTTTCAATGGCATTATTGCATTTTCAGAAACTTCTTAAGGGTTGTGAAGTTGTACCAATAATATTTTACTATGTTCATAGTTGGTTTAATGGGGGACATGCATTAACTCTGAAGTGATATTCACAATGATTAATATGGGCACAAATCAATCAGAATAAAGACCAATCAATCAGAATGGACATTGATTTGATTAAGAATAAGATGAACCAATTTAGAACTCCCCTCTGTATGATTTTCTCAAGTAAAAGTTTTTTCTTGGATATAGGTCGATGAGTTTATTTTAAGATACATGAAATAATACTCTTCTAGTCCCTTTTTCTTTTTTACATGGTCTGAAATAGTAATCCACTAGACAATGTAAAATGAGATTGATAACTTATGTGTCAGGCAATTTAAAAATTGGTTTAAGGATATATAATTATGTACTTTCAATTAAATATGGATTCCAGTGTTCAAGCTTTGCATTTCAGTATCTTAGATAATCTTTGAACAAGGAGTTCAGATAGCAAAAACTAAAGAGGAATTGTGCATAATTGGTGTCACTGTTTATAAAATGTTCCATTTTTCAGTAGCGGGAAACTGCCAGGGTGGGGCACATAATGTTAATAAGGGCACCTGATCTCAAACCAGGCAAAATGGGGGCCAAAGGGAAGCCCAAACTTTAACTATATGATGACTGCTTGTGTACCTAATCCTGAATTGTACCCCACATCTTTAAAATAAAAAAAATTAAAAAAGAAAAGGAAAGAAAACCAGCTTATATGCTATTGAAATAGAGTGATTTAATAAGTGTGTTAGCAACCAAAATAATTCAATTTTTCTTTTGTCTCATAAAGACTCTGGGATATGTGATATCTCTGTAATTCATAAAATTTTACTTCTTCTTTTGAGTGCACATACTTTGCCTTGCAGATTTCCAGAGAAAATTAAATTAAAGTGAGGTAATACTTAATTTTTAACACATTTAGAGAGGTTTTTTAAAGGATGATAAGCTGTCTGTTTTATTTTTTGACTACACATTGAGCACATTTCATCTGGCCTGGTTTGTATTACCCACAGGAATTGATAATGTTGAACCTCTAGTTCTCATGTTATTTTCTATATTGTAAACCTTCATTTTGGACTCTAAGAATCTTTCTTGGTTTCAGATATATGAAGGAAATACTGTAATTAAAATATTACTCCATAATTAGAATAAATTTAGAATATTTTTAAACCAAAGAAGCTAGGCTCGGTAGCTCAGCCTGTAATCCCGTGCTTTGGGAGGCTGAGGTGAGTGAATTGCCTTAGTCTGAGGGTTCGAGACCCGCCTGGGCTACTTGGTGAGACCTCATCTCTACAATAATTCAAAAAATTAGCCGGGTGTGGTAGTGTGCGCCTGTAGTTCCAGTTACTTGGAAGGCTGAAGTGGAAGAATCGCCTGAGCCCAGCAGACTGAGGCTGCAGTGGCCGGGAGCATGCCACTGCACTCCAGTCTGGATATGACAGAGTGAGACTCCAACTCAAAAAACAAAAACAAAAATAAAAAAAGAACAAACCAAAGAAAACATGGAATGAGCCTGAATAAATTAACTGAGTTCAACATAAAGAGGAATTTTTTGTCACTCATAGCATGTATAAACGTTGATGAAGATACTAATTTTTATAAAGCATTAGAAAAAAAGCAAGCTTTGAAATTAAATGAACATTTAAGTAGACATAGTTTATTTTCCTTGTCATAGTTTCATTTACCTAATAAATTTCCCTTTTTTCTTTTTTTTGGTAGGTTATGACTTTTGTTCTGAGAGGCATAACTGCATGGAGAATTCTGTCTGCAGAAATCTGAATGACAGGGCTGTTTGTAACTGTCGAGATGGTTTTAGGGCTCTTCGAGAGGATAATGCCTACTGTGAAGGTAATCCTTGTAATGATGTGTAGCTCAGCTGTATAAATTTTCCTAGGATTACTGCATGCAAAATTTGTTAATTTCCCAGGTTGTCAAGTTGATGGGCCCATTAAAAGCAGTGAATTTAATTTGAAGCATATTAATCAGCTAAAAATAATTATCTTTCAAATTAAAGTTTTTCAGCTATCTGCTATATGTCAGACTAATAAGTTAATATCGCTGGTTTCTTGAATTAGAACAATTCTTCCACTGTGAAATTACCTTCTTTTTTTCATAATTAGATATTCAGATAGCTCACATATTGACATGATTACTATGGCTTGCAGTTAGAATTGTAGTTAGATTTTTCCAGACAATATTGTGTAACAAAGGCAATCAATTAACAGGAAGATAAAGTGCCCACCGCTATTTTTGTTTGCTACTATAAGTAATCTCAGTGGTTGCATGCATGTTCAGTAGTATTTAGTAAATAGCACCAGTGGAGTAAATCACTTCCTAGTTATTTAAAAATCTTAACTAATATCCAAAAGTAGTTTATTCTCTCATGGAAACAGTTCACATACAGCGAGGCCCTTGGCATTTGCAAATGCTCTAGCTCTAACTATTTCAGAAGAAGCCCAGGAGATGTAGTAATTTACTATTTTCCTGAGGCATGGGTTTGAATCATTCCCTTTAATTGTGTGACTAGCTAGTGGGTCCTGTGAACAAGAACACTGATTTGGTGGTGTTTGGACACTTGGAGGGTTTAGAGGGTTCTAGACTTACCCTTTCTAAATGTACATATATGCCAAAGGTCCCTGGTGATGAAGACCTCAGGTATACACGTGCAGCTTCTGTTTAGCTACAGGCGGATTTGTTGGCCTTTGGAAAACCAACTGTTGTTTTTCTTAGTTTTAAATAGATTTTCCCTTAGTTTTAAATAGATTTTAAATATTTTTCCAAGTTTTAAGTAGATTTTCTCTGCTTAAAAATCAATATTCATTTTTTAAATTGATCTTTGGATCAAAGTACTTTTTAAAATGCTTCGAACTCACTCCTAATGGGATCATTTCATTTTTGCTGAAGGAGGGCACATGGCTTTCCTCCCCCAGTCATAATGCAGATTTATTTAAAATTTCTCATTTAAAAACATTTTATGTTTAAAAAACTGATTCTACTTAATGATTTTTATTTTTATACTATGTATAGATAAACTTTCCTAGTAAACTAATATATTTTCTTTGTCATATTTGAGATCTCTAACATGTAAAAAGCCCCACTAATATTAAGTGGGAATAACATGAAACTGTGATACAAATTCATATGATACTTATTTTTGAATATTAATTATCTGATCTTTTAAAAAATGTTGAGTTGCTGTTTCTGTTGTTATCAAGTATATTCGCTCATATAATAAATATCTAGTGAGCACCTCCTGTGTCAAGCACTTTTCTAGGCTTGGTGTAAAGTGCGGTAAATGGAGAGCATGACTACTAAGTTCCCATGCTCAGGAGCTTTACTTTATTAAGGGAAAGACAGAAAATTACTGGGTAACCATTGAAATAGAGAAGATAATTCCAAGTAGTAAAAAATAATAGGAAGAAAATGAAACAGGATGATGACCTAGAGATTGGTTGGGGATAAATTTTGATGTAGTGGTAGGTTTTTAGGACAGGTGTAAGAGGGAGGGTAATGGTTCCTGAGACTTGATGATCAGGAAACAGTCGTGGCATGATCTGGGACGAATATTTCCATAATGAAATATCAAGTAGAAAGACCCTAAGTAGGAATGAACTTGGAATGTTCTAGGAACAGAAAGAAGGACAATGTAATGGAGCAGACAAATCGGTGGAGAGTCTGTTGGAGAATTAGGCGGGGGCCAGGTAGTGTAGGGAGGCGTACAAGGATTATAGATTTTTTTCCAGCAGGAGGACAACATGCTCAGATTTATATTGAAAACCATAGCTTTGGTTGCTGTATGGTAGATAACCCTAACGTGTTGGGTATGGTGGAGAGAAAAGAAGTGTTAACAGGGAGACCATTGGGAAGGCTAGTTGCCTGAGCCTAGTTAAGGCAAAGATGTTGGTGACCTGGATTAGGAAAGTGACAGAGGAGGCAAAGAGGAGGGGCTATATTCATGTTATATTTTGAAAGTAGAGTCAGCAATGCTTGCAGATAGTTTATTGTGGTGGAGAATTGAAGAAGGGATCAAGGGGAGACAAAGTTTGGAGATTGAACAACACATGGATGGTGCTGACATTTTCTGAGACAAGAAAGACCTTAAGGTAAGAGGCCAGGGATTTAGGTGACCTTATTTGTATAAATTATTTATCAAGGCAACTTACTGAAAATTGCTTTAAACATAAAGACTAGATCATTCACTTTTTATCTGTATGTTTTCTAGAGAAAAGCTGTGGCACAAATTGGCAGCTGTTTTCCATCTTGAATGCATCATATGGAGCAATGTTTTGCAACTTTGTATTACTTGTCATTATTGCATTACTTGTATTACTTGTCATAATAATCTTTAAAATGTAAGAAAATGATAGGAAAACATGTTCGTTTATTACAGAGATCTCGAATTTTTATACATGAGGGCTTCTATTGCTAGTGCATCTTTTATATTTATTCCATGTTAACAGGTTTTGCAGTTTTCTTAACAAATCTGATTTTCCTTTTCATTCTGCGTTTCTAACCATGTTGTGACTTTTTAGAAGCAATACTTTAAAAAACTTTTTAATGCAATGTTACCTGTTACATATCAGCCTGTGGTCTTGTAGAGTTCTGGTTCATTAAGAAATTAGATTTGTCATTAAACATAAAAATACGCAAACAATTGTAAGTAACATTTTATTACTGAATTTGTGGGGTTGTTTTAATGATATGACTGCAATTGAGACTATTGATTTTTTTTCTACAGTTTGCTTGATCAGGGCTATTATAGCACTGGTAACTATTGAAGTTCATTTATTCATTTGACAAATATTTATTGAGTACCTACTTTGTGCAATGCTAGAGCTAAAGGTAAAGAAGTAAATAAGATATATATTATTGATATTTTATCAGACAAGAAAGATAATTAACAGACCATTTGATGACACCAAGGAATATTTACTTGCAAATATGACAAGTGCCCTTAAAAGAGAAATAGGTTAAACAAGGCATAAGACCTGGATGAGTAGTGCGGTTAGGGAAAATTTTGCTTGAAGAAGAGTTTTCTTCATTCTGAAATCTGAAGGGTAAGTAAAACTCAAATAGTCATAAAAGGAAGGATGGGAAAGAAAGGAATCACATAAGTGGAGAAATCAGCCTGTCTAAGGGCCTCCAAGTAGAAAAGAAGCACTTTTAAAAAAATGGTGAAAGGCCCGTAGCTAGAGGCAGAAAGCAGGAGAGGGTGCCTGATAGTCTGATGATGGGATGTAGGACTTTGAAGGTCGCACGAAAGAGTAAGGGCTTCATGCTAAGAACACGAGAGAACTAATACAAGATTTTAAGCAAAGAAGTGTCAGTATCCATTTGTGTTTTAAGTAAATCACTGCAGATGCAGGATGAATGGGAGTAGGGCTGAATGCAGGGAACCAAGTGGTTAAGAGACAATGGTGTCTTGCCTTACAAGTGGAAATGGTGATGTGGATGCACTTGAGGGCATTTGTGAGGTAAAACCATCCAGCTCTGATGATTAACTGGTGATAGTAGATGATAAGAAGAGAGGTTTAGACGTTGGTAGCCAGGTTACTGGCCTAAGAAATAGCAGCTCAATTAGGGAACAGATTGAGTGGATTTGGAGTGCCTATGGGAATCTAAGTTGAGTAATGAGTTGAATATACTTGAATGTGGCATTAAGTGAAGTTTAAGTTAGACATAAAATATGTGATTTTTGGGTATATAAATGGTAGTTGAAGAGCTGGGACAGATTGTCTAGAGTTTTGAGCAACATTTGAGAATTTTCTGGAAAGGATGATTTGGAGAGAGAGCAAAGTCATGCCTGAAATGTAGGAGGAAAGAGAAGAGAAGATGGTGTCACAGAATCTAAAAGACAGGATTCTGGGAAGAAAGTAGAATGTTTCTAAGAGATCAAGAAAGATGAAGACTGAAAGATGTCCTTTGCAATGAACCTCACACGTGACACTGAGGACACCACCAGCATTAGGAATGTTGACCCAAATTGATGATAGAAGCCAGTTTGAAATACATTGAATATTTCCCAAGGGAAAAATATTGACTCTGAAAAGGGGGAGAGAACTCCTAGATATTTGCCTATGAAGCAAAAGATCAAGAAGTGGAGCTACAGAGGGGATTTTCTGTCCCTCCCCTTTTGTTCCCCCTGCCCCAGTATTGTGGCCATACAGATGATAACTTCTTGTTCTTGAATGGGTTTTGAAATTTCTTAGATAATTATACACATAGCTTGGTGTTAGAATTTTATGACTGATGGCTTGTCCAGCTTTTATACATAAATAATTAAAAATATCTGGAAATATATTGGCCCACTTTAGATTCTTGTGAACTGTAGGTTCACCACATTTCTCTTAAAAATTGTATATTTATTTCCATCTATTCAGTGTCTTCATCTCCTGTCGATTCTTATTAAATTTCAAAAATACTTTATCTCTCATTTGGTAGCTTGTCAGTACATGTAATCTATAAAATTTGTCAAAACTTATGTTGTCCTTAATGTTTTCAGAACGGTTCTTTGCTACGTGTCTTCACTTGAAGCTAAAAATTGTGGCAGCTTTTGATGTTTTGACTATATTGTCTTTCTTCACATTCCACTATTCAGTATTAGGTTAGGGTCATCCTAGCATTATAGTTTAGATGGTATCTTCAGAAGTCCTATTTGGTGAGTTTCTTTTTTCAGCCTATAAGTTATAGCTGTGTCAGCACAATCAATAGTGCATTATGATGAAGAAGCTTTTCATGATTCCCAAACTCCTTAAAACTACCCATTTTTTTTTTGCTTCCCAAGCCTTTGACAATACACCAATAACAGAAAAGGAATTCTGCATAAGTGAGTCATTTGTGTAATTGCC